TTTGACCACACGTTGGCACACTCCATCAGACTCAGCGATTCCTTTCTATGTCCTACAATTTATTTGAATTACTGGGAAATACAGTTGAGTACAAAGTCAGAAATTTAAGCATTGATCATCCGAATAATTTTTCATAAACATCCTCTATGGTGATGCAAATTTGTTCTCTCTCTATCTTCCTCATATGGCCATATTAATGGACTTGAATAGCTGCTGCCTACTGAGAGACCATTATGTTTATTTGCCTTCTTTAATTATGTTCTTATTTATAGCCCGAGGTAAAACAGAGAGGAACAAATTTACATGTCTTTCATTGGGCTGAGATTAAGAAAGCTAAATTACATAGGTCCTATCTTTTCTTGGTTTTTTGTTTGTTTGTTTTTGGCTTGTGGAAGCAACTCCTTAGAAATTGGGGTGCAGCGCTGATACTGCTGTTGAATTAACATCCCATTCCCAACATTCTGTACATTTGTAAATTGTGTGCTGCAAACATTCCTACAGTTTTGCCCTGAGTTTCAGAGCTTGATCCTACTTTTCCAGGAAGAAACTCAGGATGAGAGTGCTATCTAGAAATACATGTCTGTGTGCTTGATTTACTAGACTTTTAGGAGCCCCCGATGGCACAATGGGTTAAACCCTTGTGCCACCAAGACTGGTGATTGACTTGTCAGAGGTTTGAATCTGGGGAGAGCATGATGAGCTTCCTCTGTCAGCTTTGGCTCCCCATTTTAGTTATTTGTCATGTCAGGGCAACCAGTCAATTGTATTACATTTCTAACACAACAGAACAAACAAACAGACAAAATACAAAATTTGTGAGTTTGGTAGTTGATTAACTGTCCTTTGACCAGTATCTGGCCACTTGGAGTGTTTCTGGTGTTGCTGCAAGGAGATCCTCCATTGTGCATGTGGCAGGGCTCAGGGTGCATTACAGCAGGTGGTCTGTAGTTTGCTCTTCTCCACACTCACATGTCGTGGATTCCACTTTGTAGCCCCATTTCTTGAGGTTGGCTCTGCATCTCGTGGTGCCAGAGCACAGTCTGTTCAGCGCCTTCCAAATCACCCAGTCTTCTGTTGGCCCAGGGGGGAGTCTCTCATTTGGTATCAGCCATTGGTTGAGGTTCTGGGTTTGAGCCTTCCACTTTTGGACTCTCACTTGCTGAGGTGTCAGAGCGAGTGTCTCTGTAGATCTTAGAAAACTATTTCTAGATTTAAGTCGTTGACGTGCTGGCTGATACCCAAACAGGGATGAGCTGGAGATGTCTCTGCCTTGGTCCTTTCACTATTGGCTGCTACTTCCCGGCGGATGTCAGGTGGTGCAATACCGGCTAAGCAGTGTAATTTCTCCAGTGGTGTAGGGTGCAGACACCCTGTGATAATGTGGCATGTCTCATTAAGAGCCACATCCACTGTTTTAGTGTGGTGAGATGTGTTCCACACTGGGCATGAATACTCAGCAGCTCCCCATGAGAGAAGCCTTCTATAAGGTTGGTAAAACATCAAACATCTGGGCATCCCCTGGGCAACGTCCTTGCAGACAGCCAATTCTCTCACACCAGAAGCAACATGCAGTTTCTCAAGTGGCTCCTGACACAAAAAAGTAGACTTTTAATTAAACAGCATTTTCTGTGTAATTCCTGTTCTTATTACTTCTCGTACCAAGAGAGTTAAGAAGATGAATACATTTGTTGAATTGCACAAAATGACAAATCTCAACCCAGGTTTGGCATTATTAAAAGAAGAACTGAAATAGCATGTCTTTGTAAATAATTTATTTCTTAATATATTAGGCATTAAATACTATTGCATACAGGAAAAGATATCAGTTACACGGTATTTGTTCATAGCTATAGAGAGGAATCACAAACATAAAAAAGTGCTGACAAAATAAATCTTTGGTAGAGTAGTCTAGTTAAAAATGCAAGTTGTACATTAACAGTAGATAGTTGCAATTATTTTCCCCTTTTCCTGTAAAACTTAGCAAGACATTTGACACAAATTGTTAAGTGAAGGATTACTTTCTCCACAAAAATAGTAAATAGTACCTGCCCCATTTTTTTCATTAGAACAACATTGTATTTGAAAAGTGAATCAATTTTTATTAGTTTGGTGTATTTGCAATAGCTTTAAACCATAAGAAACAAAGAACATATAAACCCAAAACGAAAGTGGGTAGGGACTTTAGTACCTAATTTTTGAAAAAAGAAATACCACTGAAGTTGTACCAAGGGCAGATTTATCAAGTGCTTAGAAGTACTTTGAAATTCTTCATATCTCAAGTAGATTTTCGCTGAAGATATGGAAATCTCATGGAATATTTTCATATATAAAGTTTATAATCATAATATGAAAATATGACTAAAGTACTGTGCCATCTCTCACAATACAGTGACTTTTTCAAGCATGGCACAATTCATTCCCCAAGGGTTCAATTTTTACTCGCTAGGTACACATTTTAAGATCTAACTCCAATGAATTCAACAAGACTTACTTCTAAGGTTCAAGAAAACTTGTGCATGATAGGACTCAATGATTTCTCAACATTCAGATGACCAAAAGATTATTGGATGCTGTCACTTATTTATTATCTTGAAGAAAGTGCACCCTCGATGCATGATCGGAATAGACCTTGAGCCTTCTGATGGTGATACCAAACCAGGACTTTGGAGCAAGATCTAACAAGGTTCATGGGCTGGATCCCATGCAACGTCTTGTGGGATTTCTAAATTCACAGGACTTCCTAGGATCTTGGCAGGGCTACATATAAGCCTGCAAAATGTATGTGATGTATCTGATTTGTTTTTGTTAATTAAAGTTATAGACATCCCATTGAACCCTTAACACAGTGTCCAACCTCTCTGTGTAGGTGCAATGAAATGAGGCTGAAAGTAGGGTTGTGCATAGATTTGGTTTCCCTTGTTTCCTTCGATACTTCGGGAGTTCGTAATGATAAGGGCCCTCCCGGTACGAAAACCCACCCAACATGAAAGCAAGAGGAAGCCAATCTTGGCTCCTCCTCCCTACTCTGCATCACAGTTGAATCTTTTTTTATTTTCCTTTATTTTCATAAACATCCTCTATGAATCTTTTTATTTAGTGGGCCTGGCTGGGAATTGGGGACCTGTGAATATGGAAGGCTTCAGGTATCTGGCAATCAGAAATGGATAGCGATTCACTCGAAATGCACAAGCCTAGCTGAAAGCTTCTTCAAATGGCTCAGCTATATACATGATGTTGTTATGATGCCATTCAGGTTGTTCATCCCAATAAGCTTTTAACCTTTAATCTACAAATTGTCCCCCAAAGCTGAGCAAATATACATATACATAGGTGAAACAAAAATGCTTGACTACAACCACATTTATCGTCAGTATTCTCTACATCACTTTGCAGGGTGCAAAGAGCTTTTAAAATTACATGAGGTATACAACAAATGTCAACAACACAGGTAATAATAATCTAGGAGTTATAGGAGCCAGTGAAAGAAAGGGGGGGGGGGTATACTGAATCATTAACACATCTAGAAATATCCAGGCCACAGAGTTAGCGTCAACAAAACACATTTCTTTAAAAATTGGTAATATAATATGAGGGGGTATTTTTCTATTTCACGTTGCAACTCCTGATTGAGGAGTCAAAGATCAAGTCCTTCATATTTTAAATGTGAAATAAATGATTCAAAATGCTAAACCAATCCCTTGCTGACGTCAACTGATTAATGCCTTAAATGTAAAATAAATCTGCCCCTCCATATTACTGGATTACCAATTCCACTAACTCTAGACAACGCAGTGGACCATGAAAGTTGCACACAGATTGCCCACCACTGCTTTAGGTCAATAGTTTCAAAATTATATTTTAGAGCATACATAAATATGCTGTGAGGAACTGAGAAAACAACCTTCTCTAGGGGCATTATATCCCATTGTGGCCATGCTGTGGGTGGGAATGGATTCTTCTCAAAGGAGGCACACACTAAAGCAGGCATGAGCAAACTGGCTCTCCGGGTGTTATGGAGTTCAAGTCCCATGATTCCTAACAGATTGTAGGCTGTTAGGAATTATGGGAGTTGAAGTCCAAAACTGAGGTTCTAATACCTCAGTACATTTCAAACCCCAGAACTCCATGGTCATCATTGTTTGGTGTGAAAAAAGTCCTGCATCAGTGAGGTCTTTGTTGGGTTTCTGAGTTTTAAAGGAGGAGTTGAAATCATGAAACCTATTTCAATAGTCTGTACTAAATAGCTCTTTTAAAGGTTAGACTAAACGCCAGAGTGGATTCTCCAGATCCCTGACATAGAAGCCAGGAGCTGTCCTTGAATGCTATTGTAGCTCTACTCTAGACTGATGTTTGCATCCAGAACACAAACTTGCCAGTGCTCCTTAAGGGTTCTTTATTTGTGTTGCTCATCTCACCCACATACTGTGGTTCCCCTCTCCCATGGTCCAATTAATACATGACTGGTTACTAATGGGGGGAGTACACAGCCCTTTCTTCTATTACATGGGTCCTCACAGATGGAATGTGAGGGCCTAACTCCTATAGCTACTTTCTAGAACAGATGATCTAATTAGTGTGTTTCTTCTTTATCAGAAAAGGGAGGATCATTTAAGATGTCATATATTACAGGAGGGATGGATTCATTCGTCTACATCAGTGATTCTCAACCTGTGGGTCCCCAGGTATTTTGGCCTACAACTCCCAGAAATCCCAGCTAGTTTACCAACTGTTAGGATTTCTAGGAGTTGAAAGCCAAAACATCTGGGGACCCACAGGTTGAGAACCACTGGTCTACATGAAAGGTCTGACCAGCACAAAAAATGTATGACTGGAGTCTACAAGTTACCATTTGGTCAACTTGGAAGCAACACAATGCCATTTCCAAATACAATTTGGGCCAAATTTGGCTTATTTTTTCAGCATTGTTGGTGCGGGGTGGATTGGGAGAAGTAGGCAAGTGAAACTGTTACATTTGTGGATGCATTTTCAGGGGAAAATACTTGAAAAAAAATAAATTGGAGAGAATTGTAGTCGCTTTGGGTAGGTTTTGAAAGAATACATCCGGCCCACATTTTCTTTATCCTTGTGATAAAGGCAAGCAGTGGGCAATAGGGTTCTTGCCACCAATGGTTTTCTGTGACACATATCAAAGATATGGAGGCAAGTTGCAGCTTTGGAGTGCTACTTATCTTCCAGAAATGGAATATTTCTCTTCTAATTACTGAAAATGACTATCTTCTCTGGGGGAGGGGGGAACATTACACCGAATGCACTTGAGAAAAAAAAGCAAATAAATAAATAAATAAATATTTTACATAGGCAAACAACCCACGACTTATACAAAGGGGGGACTATCACATGACTACCACCAAGATGACCGGCCCAACTTGGTGGCTCATCACGGAGAAGATGTTTCTGACCAGCACTCTGGGATGTTGCTGCTTGTGCTTGGAGAAGGGACCTCAGAGTCTTCCATGAGAGTCAGTTCATCCATGCTTTCCAAACTTGGATTCTGCTGGAAAAGCCCAAGTATCCTTCCTCGTGGAGGCATCCCTGTCTGCTGCAGGCCTTGCTCTCCAAGGACCTTGACGAGGAAGTTGATGTACCTCATGGCCAAACGGAGGGTCTCATTTTTGCTGAGTTTTTTGTCTGGTGGGTGGGTGGGAATAAGCTTTCGAAGCTTAGCAAATGCACTGTTGACGTTCTGCTGCCTCCATCTCTCCCTGCTGTTGGTGAAGATCTTTCTGGTCATTCTGAAGACTGGCAGCAGAACTGGAGGGAGAAGAAGAAGACGACAAAGAGAAAATGATAAAGAACCCAGAGAAAGGATGAATTGGATCAAAGTTACAGAATATCCCTTTTCACACACCCTGATAAGTTCTCTTTATAGTTCTGAATGCTGGTGGTTTTGACAAAAATAGAAGAACCAAATACTTACACGATGTAACACAATTTTTGTTCCTGGGTTATAAATGCCATTTCCTAATTGATTTTATTATAAAAACATGGAAAATGTTTATTAAATAAAGTTTCATCTATTCATTCAAAACTTGCAGCTGGACATGTAAACATTCACTGAAAAGCATTGTATGCCAAGATAAATGGTAGCCATATGGTACCTTTGGGGAAGTAGTAATTCTGATTATTTTCCCAGGACTTCTCAACAAAGATCCCATATATTTATTAAGAGCTTGGAAAAGGTCCTTTTGGGGCCACAAGTCCCAGGATCCCTCAGTCAGTATGGCCATTCACCTTTCCAAGCTCTATATTTTTTTTTCTTAATGCGCTCTTTGTGTACAATCTAAAAAAAGCACTCAAATAAAGGAACAACAAAAAATTACAAAAATGCACCCAATAGCAGTTGCTGGTTTCTATATCATTGAGGTAATAATTGAAGGGAAGAAAAGGGTGGAAGGGAATGGAGAGAGGGGAAGAGTGAGGGAAGGAAAGATGAAAAGGAAGGAAGTAGAAAGAGAGAGAGAAGGAAGGAAAGAAGGAAGGGCAAAAGGGTGGAAGGGAAGGAGAGAGGAAGAAAGAGGGAGGAAGGGTGGGAAGAAGGAAGGAAGGAAGGAAGGGTAGAAGAGAAGGAGAAAGGAGGACAGAAAGAAGGAAGGATGAAAGAATGGAAGGGAAGGAGGCAGGGGGAAAGAGGGAATGAGGGAAGAAAGAAGGAATGAAGCAAGGATGAAAGGGTGGAAGGGAAGGAGGAAGAGGGAGGGAAGGAGGAAGGGAAGAGAGAAGGAAGGAAGGATAGGATAGTGAGAGAGAAGAGGGAAGATAACAGAGCCCAGGGGGCCGCATCCGGGCCCCGGACCTGGGTTTGCCCATACCTGTTTGAGGACCCTTCCACACATCCCTATATCCCAGAATATCAAGGCAGAAAATCCCACAATATCTGCTTTGAACTGGGATGTCCTGCCTTGATATTCTGGGATATAGGGTTGTGTGGAAGGGCCCAGAGTCCGAACTTTAAATGAGCATTTTGTCGTGGTTCTGCACCTTGGAGAGCTCTTTTAAAATGCAACCAAGAGCCTGAACCTTATATGGAAAGCATCAGTTTCAGAATTAGATGAAATATTTCATTAGATGGAAGGTCACTGGACAGTTTTCTTCAGTATGGATCTGTGTGTGTGCTTTTAAGTCATCTGTCATCTTATGGTGACCCAATATATGTCATCAAGTTTTCTTAAGCAAGGGACACTCAGAGATGGTTCTGCCAATTCCTTCCTCTGAAATATAGCCTACAGCACCTAGTATTCATTGGCAGTCTCTCATCCAAGTATTAACCAGGGTTGGTCCTGCTTGGCTTCCAAGACCAGACTGGATCTGGTGTCTTTAAACAGTATGACTACATTATTTATGAAAGGACAGCCAGAGCTGTCTTTCTTTGGCTCTCTCCTTTTGTCAACAGAAGCCCTGTAAGCAAATAGCAGGCTTTGTGAGTAGGGCTATGTTTAAAAAGTGTATCTTTGTGTCCTGACATTTGTACAAGATCGGTAAACAGTGGTACCCTATATATCCTAGGAAACCTTTTAAAAAGGGATGATGTCTCCAGTTTCATGGGGTGGGAGGGACAACGTTCATAGCAATGCAACATGGAATTCAGCCCTTAGCATGTTTTCCCCTAAAACACACTGTGTCTAGCTGGGTTTATTTACATATAAGTGCCACAGGAGTCCATTTGCTTCCTTTTAAAATATATTTTTACTACTTACAATCAGGATGTTTGCCATCTGTGTTATTTAAGTTCCCACTGCCTAATTCTGCCTTCCGAACAGAAATCACTTGAGTAAATATTTCACAGTGGTGCAATAAATCTTGAATTACATCCCATGTTCAAAAATGTTTGCTTATCTGTATCTGATGGTGAGGCATACTAGCACTTTACACCACTCTCTTTTAAATCACCAAACTACATGAAAATGTGTAGTTTCAGGCTACATTTTTGCACATTACGCTTTTGTACGAAAGAATTGCTCCAGGACAAAGCCTTTCTGAGAACATAAACCTGTGCCATTTTTTTAATCAGAAGCTAATTGAGAATATACTGCAAATCGCTTCTGGGGTGAGAGAATTGGCTGTCTGCAGGGACGTTGTCCAGGGATGCCTGAATGTGTTACCATCCTGTGGGAGGCTTCTCTCATGTCCCCACATGAGAAGCTGGGCCTGACAGACGGGAGCTCACCGCGTCTTGCAGATTTGAACCGCTGACCTTCAGGTCAGCAGTTCAGTGGCACAAGGGTTTAACCTATTGCGTCACTGCGACTCCATAGCCTGTGCCACAAAACTGGCCCAGTATGAGCTTGCAGAGATAGAATCCCTTTGTTGTAGAGATCCGGCTGTATACAATACAGTTACACCCTCAACCAACAGGGCTGTAGTACAAAGGAGTTAAAATCTAGAGAACAAAAATTCTCCCCGCTTCTGCAAAAACTGAAAATGGTGAAGGCATTGCTTTGTGTACACACATACCTTCTATTGCCCATTGCCAAAACATGAGTTGCTCACATTATTTCATTTTTTAAAAACCTATAAAACCTCTTTGTGCAAAGCAACATGATGTCTGTCTGCACATTGTGAAATAGTTCCATCTTACTACCTTCAACTCTTAAAAACTACAACTCAGAAACAAGTGTTCCTCCAAACCCACATTTCTCAATATGATAAAGAGTGGGGAGGGAGTTATATATACATCCTATAAAAGGTAAGATTGCCCAATGCAAGGAAAGCTTGATTATGATTCTCTCTTTTTCAACTGGCCGGGGCTGCGGCAGGAACTGTAGGTGAAATCTATTCTGCCTGTTTTAAAAAGAGAGTTTCCCTAACAGTTCCTCGCTCAAAGCTACATTTCTGCTGGGCATATCACAGTAAATGGCCGTTCTAGCAACATTAATACTCATAGGCTTGCAAAGAAGTTCTGCATCACCTGGTGGGAACAAAGAGTTGTAAAAAAATTACAAATAAAATAAAATAGGGGCCCTTCCGCACATCCCTGTATCCCAGAATATCAAGGCAGAAAAATCCCACATTATCTGAGTGTGGACTCAGATAACCCAGCTCAAAGCAGACATTGTGGAATTTTCTGCCATAATATTCTGGGATATAGGGCTGTGTGGAAGGGCCCTCAGATCTTGAGGATATATAAACAGCTCAATAACTGTTTTTATGGCAATAGTATTTAATTGTACTTATACGAATCGGCCATCATAGATTACACATTAGATGTGGAATCCCATCACAGATATGCGTACATGGAGTCACAGTTTCTGCTACAGTTGACTGCCATGAGGCAACACGATGTAGAGAAAGGGTTGTAACAATAGGGCCCCATACGCGCCAAAGAGAGCCTACCATGTGTCCCATAAGCTATTTTATCATGCCCTCAATCTGTGAAATCTTGGAATTTGTATTTCTGTGACCAACTTGTAATTCTTTTTAAGGGAAATCTAGTGGCATTTAAGGGAATAGGTTAGACCTCTCCAGCTTTTTTTTTTTCATGTAAGGAGCAACTTGAGAAACTGCAAGTCGCTTCTAGTGTGAGAGCATTGGCTGTCTGCAAGGATGTTGCCTAGGGGGATGCCTGGATGTGTTACCATCCTGTGGGAGGCTTCTCTCATGTGCCTACATGGGAAGCTGGAGCTGACAGATGGGAGCTCATCTTGCTCCCCAGATTTGAACCACCAACCTTTTGGTCAGCAGTCCTGCTGGCACAAGAGTTTAACCCATTGCGCCACTGGGGGCTCCTTGCCTCCCCAGCTGATAATACTACATACCTCACCATACTGCAAATGCCAGGATGGAACCAAGATCATTAAAGTAATGTCAGAGTGCTATAATTGTGTGATGTAGATCCCTTCAAATGTCTTTGTCAACCCCTGGATATGCCAGTAAACTGCAAATATTGATGCGCGCACACACACACACACATGTATAATACACTTGTACTATAATAAGGAGGTATGTATGCATATTGGCCTTCCCTCTATTGTTAATCTTCTATGAGAGTTAAGAGATGATACGAGCCCTAATATGGTAGTTTCATCAGGATAGGATTTTGTGGAACGAGAATGGACCCAGAGAATGAATGGTGGATTTCCTAATGCTGTAGGGCATTTTGAAGTAAGACACCGCCATCAAGAGAGATTGCATAAGACTCTTTGAAGTGAGTGATGTACACATTATCATCCAAACAGAGGGAACAGCACAAGGCCATTATGAATCATGACCTTACCAGTTTATAATTGTATGCAATAGCATTATATGTGGCAATGGATGAAGAGGATTTCACCAGAAAAAACATTATTAGAAATATGGAGATTTTTTTTTGTTACAAAAAATATATGATGAACAACAATGAACACAATAATGTAACACACCCATAAAACGAAACACTGGGATCACTTTCCAAACACTGTGGGTTGGAATGATTGCCTCATTTACCAGAGGCAAAATACTATCTAGCAGGAGGTGAAGGTTGGACATGCCTGCTCTCCAGCATGATGCCGGCATCACATAGGCTTCGATCTTGAGCTGGCTGTGAAATGGCAGGGAGAAGGTTTGAGGAAGAGACAAAAGAGAGTCAAACCGAGTTTATTCTCGGTTGGCGCCAACCGGATATAAACCCTGCTGGTATTCCAGGAAACAGGGTGATGAACAAAGGAATTGCCTTGGTTTATATACCCTTTATAATAATATGCATACATCATACAAGCGTCACAATGTGCGTCACAAAATTCCACTTTTACATTGTTTTCAATAGCATATTTTTAACT